CAGTATGACATTCTTTACACGCTTTCTACTGAAATGTGTATTTCAATGAATACTAAATCCTACAGTTGTGCCTATACAGTACATGTAACTATATTGTAACTTGTTCCCAGTGGAACTAATTATAACTGTGTTACTCTTATGACAAAGGATGAGTATAAACAAGTATTGTTCCATTAAATTTTAGAAAATGTGTTGTTATTCTTCGGCATTGTCCAGTTTGGAATACTTTCCCATAATAACCCAAATGAAAGGCAAGGATGTGATTTGATCTCTGAGCTTTTGATCTATGACTCATAAAGACCAAAGGCTTTTGTTCAAAAATGACTTTTTGGGCCTGCTGTTTTCAGATAATCTTCACTTCCAAGCCCAGTTATTAAGGGACACTCTCTTAGTGAAGCAAGTATATTTCTTGTATCTCTTGTAAAACGTCTAGGAGAGATATTTTATGAAGGCAGGTGGGGCCACAAAATGTTTCCAGTGCCCAATAAATATGCCGAAGTATCAGTTTGTGGATTATTTTGTGGACTCTTTGAGAGAACCATAAAAAGTAAACATTAAAGAGACCGTATCTTCAATGTACACACATATAAGCTTTAACAGGCTTGCTTTGAATATGTGTTTGGTTTTGCTTGGTTATTAATATCAATATTTCTTATAAGATTTATTAAAATGAAGCCTGTGCAAAATTCTATCATTATCTATACAACATGAGCACAGCCAGCGCTGTCCCGAAATGTCAAACCTCCTAGTTATGAACTATGTGACAGCCCTAAGCTCCTGAAGGAAGTGGAACTTATCACATGTGAAGCTGGCCATACACAGTTAGATTTTTGTTTGAATATGTATAGAAGAAAACATTATCATCATATCATCAGAGCATTCTATCTTTCAACTTTGAGCCAACTAATTTTGTTCAAAGGGCCTTAAAACTTCATCTAGACCTGCTACTTGCATGGAATCCCAGATATAGTAAACAAGTTTCATTACAATATGTACTGTACAATTTTTCCTGAAACAAAAAACCATATTCACAGTTAGAATGTAATTTGTTAAAAAAAAATCCATCCTACTCCTTCACATTTTCTCATCACTATGTTCAAAAACAAATTTGAAAATGGAACAAATGTTCAGAAATGTTCATAGACAGCTTATATATGGTTTCCAAAAATGCATTCAAATAATCATGAAATACAGCAGATCATGACTTTAGTGGGTCTAGTTTTTTTCTGAAACAGGCAGGTAGTAAAATGTCAAATCAGTAATAAACCCAAACCCAACACCAAAATTTAATACATTGCAGCTTACAAATCATTTTGTATGGTGGCTGCATTTGTTTTCTTTTTTTAGGCATTTTTACGTCTGTTTTCACATGGTAATCTGGACAGTAACACACTTCCTGTATTAGAGTGACTCCACTCTGGATGAAGGGGCACAGACAGCTTTGGACAGTAGCATTGTTAATCTGGGGGGAGGAGAGTGTTAGATGCACTAGCATATTTATATACATTAATAAACCAAAGCTGAACTCCAGATACCATTTTATAAGCAGTAAAAGCACATTTTATAACAGCAAACATCTTTTTTCCTTTTGGGAAAAAGGTTTTACATAAATAAAAAAAATAAAAGTTAGCGCAGAATGCTCAATAAATTTAGTTTTGGCACCTTCTACAATCAAGGGAGCAGTGATTATTTGTTCTGGTCTGTTCAGGGTTTCACAGTCTGGGAATTTGATTGCTTGTTCCTGCCTCGAGAAGACGTTTCTAGAGCTTAGGGAGAGAGAATTCAAATAACCAGTCTGTATATTGATCAGGGCCTAGCCAATCCCGGGGGAGGAGGGCCCAGATGGTGGCTGGAAAGCTGATAAATAGTCTGATGCCCTGAAGAAAGGGTCTTTCGCCAGCAAGGAGATTTCCAAGCTTCAGGGGGCTTTTGCCCTGCAGCAGCCTGTGGGCCGCATTTCTGTTCTGTGAGGTCTTAATGGTGGCAGAGCTGCCACCTGGAAGTGATCTGGAACTGACTGCTGGACTTCACAAAAGGAATCTGGTTTAGAGAAGGATTGTCTCATTCACTGGGTTGTGTCCCAAGGAGGCTGGAAGGAGGCAGTAATATCCTAGGATTGATTCCTGTTGACTGTGTGCTTTTGGGATAAAAGTGCCAGAGGTTGCTTGGACTGAGACTGCTCTGATAGGGTCTCAAATTCCGGTCTTCAGCAATGTCCTATAGTGTGCAGTGTTCCTAGGATTGCACTGGGTACCAATAGCTGTGCAGTGGTGCAGGGTAACCAAATACCACAGAGACTTGCTTTATGGTCCCCAGCTGCGAGGCCTTAGACTGTCCAATATTCACTGTTGCCTCTCACAGCCAATTGCTAACAGTTTTTGGAGTCCCCAACCCCTCTCCTGTTACAAGTTTTAGCAGCAATAAATCACAATAAGACAACCCCTAGACTTCAATTTTGGAGACGGAGTGAATGGACTGTTGCTTGGATGGATGGTGGCCTCTGTAGTGTTTGGAGGAGAACCAGTTAAAATCAGAAGCCCCTGCAGTGGTAGCACTACAATTGAAAACACCCTTAACAGCCAGATCACCAGGTGAAAAAAAAAGAAAGAAAGCCTAAAAAAGAAAAAAAAAAATGCAGCCATCACATATAAACATTTGCAAGCTGTTTTATATAAATATATATATATATATATATATATATATATATATATATATGTGTGTGTGTGTGGGTGTGTCATGTTCGCATGCTGGCCACGCCCCTGAAGACATCACAGACGATGAAACGCATTGGGAGGAGTCAGAATGCGTGACGTCAGCACTCACTGGAACATGGCGGCCATCTTGTTGGTTAGAAACTTACCATTTGGTTATATGGTGACATGCTGTTTTAACTATCTGCTGATGTACGTTTAATACTATGTTGTAAGGCAATAAATCCTGTTAATCATACTACACTATGAGGATTCTTTTGCTTTTTGGATGATTTTGTCCTCTTTGAGGATAATTCATTGTTTTAGGTCTATGTTTTGAAAATTATCTGAAGTATCAGTTGGGAGCTAATGCCTTGATTTGGGAATCTACTGCGAGGGATCCAATAGGCGACTATCTACATCTAATATTTGGAGTTCACCTTATCCTCCCAGAGTCAAGAGTGTCTGAGCTCGTCATCCTAATTGGATATCCGCACTATGCTTTTCTTGACCTGCACTGTGTGGTTATTCAAGTCTGGTAAGAGGCAGTATTTTTTGAGGTGCTGGTGATGGTGGATTCCCAAGGCAATTTTCTGAACTTTTTGAATTTTTATTTGTCATGAGAGACTTTTTATTTTAATTTTTTTTTTTCAAATCATTGGACTTTTTAATTTATAATTTTAATGTATTATTTACTTGTAGTTTTGTCATTTTAGCGGCTTGCCTTTTTGTTTTACATAATAAATGCTTGCTTTGGGTTTCTTACCACTTTAAGTGTCAGTTAACCCCAAAACTAATATTCCCTCCTTAACTATGTGTGCTCAAGGTTTTGTAAAGAAACAGATTCTTGAATACTAAATACCTGGTGATTTTGCCAGCATAGAATACCTATTTCCTCATAGTGACAACTCTTTGCTGGACATACCAAAGTCCTTTGAGTTGCCACTCCAACTGTTCATGCTCCATTTTTAGAGTTACGGAAGCTGTCCACTTTTTCTTAAGCTGACAATACACAAAGATTTCTCTTGAGAGAAATCCATACATAGCAGCATCCATGCTAAACTGTTTGGATGTGGTAATGTGCATGAGTTGATGTGCTAATGCCAAAGCTTCCTCTTTTAATTTGAACGTGTTGCTCTGTTTGTTTTTACCTTTTCTCTTATTTTTAGCATGCAACCACTGCTGAATAAAGTTGTCTATTATTTTTTTTTCTTAAGTAGTAAAAATGTTTAGTGTTTGTACACCTGCTTACTATAATATTTAAGACTTGTTCTTATGCGGTTATTTTACTGACTACGGCCTCTGTAGGAGATGGAAACGCTTCAATATGTGTTGGTCCTGATTCTTCTTTTATGTGATGGATGAAGTAAACCTACATTTCATATTTTTTGAGAAGCTGTAGCGCTTGATTTTCACTCTAAAAATGTTTAACCTCTTCGGTGTTGCCCTATAGCAGAAATATTTCTACAGGGTGGTACGGGTGCGCAAAATTACATATATATACGTGATTTTGCAGTTCTGGGTAGGGGGCATGCGCACCCTACCCACGCCACCATTCGCAGCCTTAGCTGTCAATCACTGGGTCCCGGCCGGTGATTCCCAGACGGCACCCGCTGATCTCTGTGGATTTCCGATGGGGGAGAGAGACTCTCCCTTGTCAGCTCCTGTTTAATAGAAAAAAGTCAAAAATATTGTTTTTTTTTTTCCTCAAAATTTCATTTTCTTTTTAGAATGCAAAAAATAAAAAAACCACACAGGCAATCAAATACCATGGAAAGAAAGCTCTATTCATGGGGGAAAAAAGGATGTAAATTTCATTTGGGTGCAGCGTTGCATGACCGCGCAATTGTCAGTTAAAGTAAAGTAGCGCCATAGCGCAAAAAATGGCCTGGTCAGGAAGGGGGGTAAATCCTCTGGAGGGCAAGGGGTTAAACACTTTCCATACAAAACAAAGTATAGTGCAGAAAATGGGGATGGTCACGGACAATATGTAATCAAAGCTATACATGGTCCTTCAGGTAGGACTTTGTCTATTATTTAGAATTGCCTAATTCCCTGTGTCTAGGAATTTCGAGGGTGTCACAAGATTCGGCTGTACCAACATATTTATCACAGCCAACACGTACAGATACAGTACACAAATATGGCTACCACCGTGTATGAATTTACTGTTGTCTGCCAGTGATTGAAGCTCTTTATCAATACTAGTGACCTGAGTCATATCCTGGCCCTCAGCACTCTTAAACAAAGGGGTGGGATATCAACTCCCTTATATGGATACATGGCCACGTTTAGTTACAGTGTTACTAACAGTAAATTCAGTCTGTATATGCAGTAAAGCATGCTAGTTATACTCACTGTGGAACATGAGGGGTTAATCCTCCACATTCTGTAAAAATGCTGTTTGATCTTGACTTCTCTGATCCTCCCTTTCTTCCAGTGCCCCCCTCTTATCTCCTGATAAGACATATCGTGTGGAGACACTCTGCACATGCTCATTTTGGTGTGTATTGCTGGAGGGTTTTTTTTTTTCCTTGGGAGAGTGCATGTGATCAGCACAGGGCCAATCAACACTGTCCACACAGAGATCAGGGGTTCTGCATCCTCCTAGAGCAGAAAGAAAACTCCTACAAGCTTTAACCAGTGCTCTGCTGAGCACTGATAGAAGTCACAAGACTGCTATATACTGCTGATGGGAAAATGTATTTAACAGTTTATATTTATTAAAATAATTGCATTTCCATGTAGTGTGTACTGTGGGAGACCGGATCTAGTGAATGCAGGCTCCTGGGTTACTAACACTTTAACCACTTTCCCGCCCCCCTATAGCAGATATACTGCTACTGGCCGGCAGGGGTGCGCAAAATCACATATATATATATATGTGATTTTGCATTTACAGGTAGGGGGCGTGCATGAGCACAGTACCCGTGCTGCTATTCGCAGCCTCAGCTATCAATCACCGGGTCTCGGTGATCGAGGAGCATTAACAAAGAGGGACAACTACATTAACACCTGATAGGAATCAGTCTATGTCTGTAGCCCCGTCCTCGTTATTTCCACCACCAGGCCTGGGAGAAATAAAGCTCCAGACACTGAACTGTGCAAGCTAAATCCATGAAAGTTTAATTCAAAACAAGAACGGTTATACAGAACTCAGTGGGTGTTGCTTAATCGTAGGATGACCAATGAAACATTCCATTCTTATCAATATAGTTATGTGAAGAACAGAAACTGAGGGACACCATTTAAGGTAGTTCCGTTTACAGTGAAATTAAAGTATTTTCAGAAACGAGAGAGGAGTTAAAAAAATGAAACTAACTGTTCGCACATCTAGAAATGGAGGCATTATACAAAATGGATGGCAGGTAATAAAACATATTTCCTTACAGTTCCTCTCTTTGTCACATAGTGACAACACATCAAATGTGTTCACAGTTGTTTTTGCCCATATGCATCCAGGTTCTTTAAAAACTTGTTAAAAATGCACATGCAAAGTTTAGCAACAACATAGAATATAAATATTAGTAAAAAACATGACAAAATCAGCATGCCTACTTTCTTAAACCATCCAAAAAAATTTCCAAAACTTCCCAGCCCTTTAAAAGGGTTCAAGCCATCTTTGGCTATGGATCGAGCTCAAACTTATAAAACATTTACCTGGGCTCTATGATTCTCAATGACTTCATAGTAGTCTGGGATCTCAGCAAATGTGTTATGTATCCATATACAACACTCATAGTCAGTAGTAGACTCACATAGCCCAGTCAATGCTGCACCCATTTGTTCTATTTTCATTTCATTCATGAGCACCTATTTCCTCAATACCAACATTCAAATTCAACATTCAAAAAAACCACCTGTAGTTATGTTTTCATCTATTCTTAGTGGTATTTACTTGTGCAAAGTTACCATCCTCAGGTACCTTCCCAGTGACATTAAGTTTAGACTTACTACAAAATTCTTTCCTTCATTTTATTAGTTTCCTAAATTAAAACTCCATTCAGGTTCCTACATAACTCCCAACAGTTCAATTTTAGGCCTTGTAGTAACATTTGTAAGGATGATACTCAGATTATTATATAATATTATTATACAGGATTTATATAGCGCCAACAGTTTGCTCAGCGCTTTACAATATAACAGGAGACAATACAGCAACAATACAGTTCAATACAAGAGGGTTAGGAGGGCCCTGCTCCTTGGACCTTACAATCTAGGAGGGAGGGGCTAGTGATACAAAAGGTATTAACTGTGGGGGATGGACTGGTTGGAAGAGTAGAAGATTCCAGTATTAGCTGAAGGCAGGATAGGCTTCCCTGAAGAGATAGGTTTTCAGAGATTGCCTAAAAGTGAGCAGAGTAGTTGATAGTCTGATAAATTGGGGGTAGGGAGTTCCAGAGGATGGGGGAAGCTCTGGAGAAGTCCTGGAGACGAGCATGAGAGGAGGAGACAAGGGAGCCAGTGTCAGGGATCTCCTCGATCCCCGCCGCGATGGTGCAGGTGCAGTGCACCGCCCTGTGCAGGGACACGGGCATTAGGTCCGGGCCGGCCGCGGCGTTCGAGTTCGCGCATGCGCAGTAGAAGCCGCGGTGCCCGCTGGGCACCAATGGCAGCGCAGGGCGGGATATTTAAATGGCCCTGAGCTGTCATTCAGTGCCTTCTGGTCTTTCCTGCATCCTGTGATTCTGCGAACCTGTACCCTGTAAGTTATTGACCCGGATTGTACCTGACCTTGCTATTTTCTCCTATCCTGACCCTTGCTTTGCCTGACCTCTCTCCTGGATGCCCCCTATAACAAGGATTTGACCTGCTGTTGCTGACCTGGCGTGTGACCCGACCATTCTCTGCCCGCTGCCTTGTACCTTACCGTCCTCTCTGTTACCCAGACCCGGCCCGTCTGACCTTGCTCATCCATCCATCCATCCGCCCATCCCTCGCAGTGGGGTCTTCTGACCTCATCATATCAGACTCTTTCCCGTGGGAGCCCTTGGCGCATACCACTACCACTGACGGACGCACCCAGTAGCCACGACCTGGTCTCGGGGGGGAGTGACTCCAAGTCCATCCCCACCATCAGGGGCCCTGGTGAACAAGCACCCTGGGACTTAGATTCCGTGCGCTGGGGACGCCTATTCAGTGGAGTGCTAGTGGTACCGCCGGGCGGTCCCTTACAGCTAGAGAGCAGGAGGTCTTGTGAGGAGCGGAGAGTGCGGTTTGGGTGATATTTAGAGACAAGATCGTTGATGTAATTTGGGGCAGAGTTATAAATGGCTTTATACGTTATTGTTAATGTTTTTGAATTTTATCCATTGGCAATGGGAAGCCTGTGGAGGGATTGGCAGAGAGTGGTGGCAGATACAGAACGGTTAGTAAGGTGGATGAGTCTGGCAGCAGCATTCATGATAGACTGAAGAGGGGATAGCCTGCGATGAGGTAGGCCAATGAGGAGGGAGTTGCAATAGTCAAGGCGAGATATAACAAGGGAGTGAATAAGTTGCTTAGTGGTTTCCGAGGTTAGGAACGGCCGTATCTTGGAGATGTTGCGGAGGTGAAGTCTACAAGATTTGGACAGTGATTGGATTTGGGGGTGAAAGGACAGCTGGGAGTCTAGGAGTACACCTAGTACCCTGGCATGAGGGGAGGGAATGATGATTGTGTTATTGATCTTGATGGAGAAGTCAGGGGAGGGGGCATGGACTGGGGGGAATACTAAGAGCTCAGTTTTGGAAAGATTGAGTTTGAGGAAGTGGAGTGACATCCATGCGGTTTTGTCGCTTAGTAGATTACTAATAAACATTAATGTCACATTTTTTGGTGCAGCATACAAAAGAATGTTCACGCTTTCAGGGTGGAGCATACTGCAAACCCAAAATCTCTCAATTCCCTATGAGAGTTTGGCATAATTGTACTTAAATTTCAATAGTGACATATTGGCAGTCAGTGATTTTTCTGCTCTTTTTTATTAGTTCAGTGTCATTCACAGTCTTACTGTTGTGGCCACAGAATGGTGGCCTTTCTCCTGGGTGATAGTAGCAGTGGCATAGTCCAGCAAGCCACTGAAAAGTTATCACTGAGAGACAACTGATCAAAAGAAAGTTCTTCCAGGCCGTCTGTGGATGAAGCAGCAGAAGATTGGAGGGTGTTTATAGGTCTGTCTTCTATCCTTGTTCTGTCTGTTGCTCCTGGTTCATTAGTGGTTCTGGGATCCTCTTTACTCTAGAAGCATGTATCCAGACATGGAATCAGCAGTCAGAACTGCAGTTTTCACCACAGCTGTCACTGTGGTGGGTTCCCCGTACAGCGGATCTGCTGGGTTTTGTGTCTGTGAAAGTCCTTAATCACTACCCGATCACCTGGCTTGTACTGGTGGGTTGGATTATCTGTGGGAAAAAAGAAACGAGAGAGAGACATCGCCGTATACATCATTCGACACCCTAATCAATTCCTGGTCTTTCCTGGATTAATTCTAAATCACTTGTCATAACTACCAAAGGACCTCTTGTCCAGGGGTGAGGAATAGTCTGCCCATAAAACCAAAAAAGGAAAATTTGGTGACTTTATTAGGTGTCATCCTCATCTCAGCCAGAACAGCTGGCAGATAGACCTCCCACCTCCCAGAATTCTGTGGATGGTAGGGTATGTGGAACTTCCAGTCAATGCTCATCAGTTTGGCTACCATGTGTGTAAGCTTTGAGGGTACATGTTGGTCCTATGTTTAAGTCTTACTTACCAGACATCCCCATTGAGGGATGGCTTTCTTTGCAAAAAATCTCTTCTTTATTTAATCTCTCACTACCTGCCACCCCGATGTCCTATGCCATAGAGATATTGCACTGTGACGTGCCTGTTAAACCTCCCTTTGACATTAGACCATTTGCATCTAATGTCAACCCTTTTTGTTGCATGTCTATTCTGGGAGTGGTGTCCCTCATGTATTACTTGAACACAATCATGTTCCTCAGGTGGGTTATCAGTTTCACCCATTATCAATAGCAAACAATTTAACATAGCTAAGGGAACTGAATTAGAACCTGCATAGGGCACACTTCCAAATTAACAGTTGAATTGTTAAAATCACTTCATAACCACTTGCCCTTTAAAAAAAATGTGCTTTGCATAGTAAGGTTCAGTTAAGGACAATGCAGTACATGATGGGCAGTGTGAAGGATGGATTTATGAGATTTTAATGTCCCAGAGTCACACTCATTGAATCCTCTACTGCCATGTGACACAGATGATACCAGGGCTCTCAGGTATACTGCCAACATGCCCTGTATCGGACTTGGCACTACTTTTTGAAAAAAATAGGCTACTGGCCTCATACCCATGATCCTTACTGTTGACCCAATCATGGTTTACTTATCAGGCTTCACACATTGTCTAAAATCAAAACCCAGAGCTCACAGGAACATAGTGAGATCAAACTCCATGTGCACCCCTCCCTTCTCACTTACTCTGATTGTGGCCTTGAATTTTCCCAACAGATTTCTGCCTGACAAATTCACAGGGCATCCTGATATGATTTTGAAAGAATGCTTCACTATGGAAACTTTCCCGTGAGAATCTGAAATACTCAAAGGGGGTGTTTCCCAGGTTTTTGCACATGTCCCAATGATATCAATTGAAGGTTCACATTCTACTCTTGTCCCCTATTTCTGTTGCTA